GTCATTCCAAGTCAAATCAACACAGCCATTAACCTCACTCCCTGATTTCCATGAAATTTGCTGAACTCGGAGGGGCTATTGGAAAGGCATCCCATGCCAAATTGCAGCTCTCTGCCTCAAGTACTTCAAGAGATGTAGCAATTTGAAAGTGGCAGGAAATGACCGATTTTGGGCAGTCATCGCTAAAGTGCGCATAACTTTTGTTCTAATCAAAATAGAAAACTGATATTGGTGCCATTTTAAAGGTCTATTCATGTCCTTTCAAATGATATGCAATGAACAACCTTACGTAAAAATAAAGTTCAGAGGTTAAAGGATCTGACCTTTGACCTTTAATTACAGAGAAAATGACATTTTTATTTCATACGAAAAATTATGCTAGATGGATACTAGATACAAGCATGATATAGGTACTAGAAAAGAATGTACTAGATATATCTGGATGCATCCAGTTTCAGCAAAATGTAGTCAGAATAGAATTCTCTGAACTATCAGAAGTATTATAGAAATTTAGTGTTCGAAGCCTCCATAAAATATGGGGGAACGTTCTGGAGAGATTCAGCGGTAGGGTGAATCCTGTGAATGTCGGCACTCTAAGTAAATACTTAACTTTTGCCTTGCTTGCTTGCCTTTATAATGGAGCTTCTTAGTTCATATTGTGTCTGGTGATACCCATATACCTCTTTGTACTGCAAACCTCGAGTGCCCCAGGCCTCTCATTTCCGAGGGCCTGGGTCAAAGGTGAAGTTGGGTCAGACGTTGGCAATCTCGGCACACTTACTGGTATAGACTGCACCACCTTGTCGGCAATATCGGCACACTTATGCATCACTGTTGCCTATAACGGACTCAAAAATGAATGCAACGACAAGATAAAGCAATACCTAGTGTGGAAGAGAAGAACGGAATGTGTAAAAGCTTAGCGAAACCGCAAAATTTCGGGGGATTTTCGGGGTGCACTTAGAGAAACTGCCCACAGCGAGAAAACTAAAACAGCAAATATGACTATTCCAAGCGCACGTCAACAACATTAGTCCAACCATCTGAGAATTCTTACCTACCCGCGCCTAGGGGATTAGTAGTGAAAGCAGTATTTTGACGATTGCAAAGTGCTGAGATTACACCAGTGCCGACATTCACTACTAGTCCCCTACTACTAGTCCTCATTGTCCCTGATTGGGAAATGAGAGAAATGGATGAACCTTAGTGGACGATTTCCTGTTGCATCCCATTCTACAACGCGAAATATTCATCCAAGAAGAATCTGAGGCCAGTCTAGTCAAGGATGTGTAACACAATCCCTTCCATTCGGCTTGGTGCCAAGGTAGGGCAAACAAGGGAGCAGTGGACCACCCGATATTAGTGGACCACTCCTAAGTTTTGATTCCTATTAGATACAAAGAAAGCTTCAGTTGCCCTCTTCCCGTATGTTAGTATTAATAAGTAATGTTCCCCTCAAGGGCGAACAGAAAACCAACAACATCTTGGGTTCTTCGTGGTTACTAAACAGTCTAAGTTTTTATGAAGGCAAACTTATGCAAAAAACTTAGAGACAATTCAGTAACCATAAGGATCATAGATGCTGATGGTACCCTGTTAGCCTTTGAGGGGAACATTACTTCTTAATGCTAACATAAGGGAAGAGGGCAACAGAAGCTTTTTCTGCATCTTATAGGAATCAAAACTTAGGAGTGGTCCACTACTATCGGGTGGGCCATTACTTCCATGTTTGCACAATGTGATGATTGCAGGAAGAAAATTTTACGAATATCGGTGTTATCAGGAACTGAGTCGAGTACATCATTATCCGTGTCAAGTCAAAAGCCTAGTCCAAGGAACCATCCTGACGTTGTTGATAAGGTCTCCTATGAGCAAAATAGGACGCTAAATTTCATGAATAAAAATTACCATTTAATTGGAGAGTCTCATGGTTAAATCATGGTTAAACTGAATCATAAGCTTACCTAAGCCCAATATCCAGAGGAGAAGTTGAAGAAGATAGAAAGTGTTCTGAAGAGGAAGTTACTTAATGTGGAATAAGACGACGAAACAGAGGAAATGTTCAAAAGCTAAAAGAAAATGAAACCTTTAGCCAATTGAAAGAAATATTCCGAGTGTCCACAGAGAGAAGTGAGAAGAGAGAAGTGACCATCCACGGAGTTGGAGAATTCGGAAAAACCAACACGAGATCGCCTCATCCTGACTTCCTGAAGGATTAAATTGGTTCTCTTCCACAAGAAATGGCCTACTTCGTTATGGAACTGCTTCGCACGACAACAATCAGAGAATTTTCTTCAACCGGTGCCATGAGGCTGGCTTTGGTTTTCCAAGTGAGAGGCACTTCTCAACCACCTGCCACGGAAAAAGTGCTTGACGGTGATGGAGGGACAGTAAAGAGGTTGGCTTCAAGTGCCAGTCTCCAACGAGGGTACGAACCAATAAAAAAATGACGCCTCACAAACTGTTCGAATGGCAACTGAGAATATCCCAATCAGTTTTTCAGCATTGCAGCTTTGAAGAATAAAAGAGGGAGGCTAGATACCTAGAAAAAAAATTAGTGCAATCACCTACGATTCCTGGAACACAAAAGCTTCATTCTGTTATTCCATAGACGAATAAAATTCCTTCTTATCTGTTTCAAAAGAAGAGGAAGTCACTATCCTGCCAAATGATCTTGTAACTGGAAAGCTTCAGTCATGAATAATTGGGTGTTCTCCGGCTTCCTCTTGTTTTAGTTGGAATTGGACTTTTTAAAACGAATTGTTGTCAGTAAACTGTCGCTGGTATTTTTTGCTTTTCGGCAATTTGTAAAAGGATTTTAATGGACTTTCTATAACTCTGCTGTTAGTGTCCCCTGATCACATGGGAATCCCAAGTTTAAGTTTTGAGTACTAATAGAAAAAGATTTGGCAATAGTATGGTAATTTTTAGAAAAAGATAACCATGTTCTTTTCTCAGTAATTAAAGGTCAAAGGTAAGATACTTTGACCTTTTTATTGAATGTCCTTGAGTGGCATATTATATGAATGGAAAGGAAGAGGCCTTTAAAATGACACCAATTTCAGCTTTCTTGGTTGAAAAGAACAAAAGCTATTAAGTGATGACGACTTGACCACAAATTGGTCACTTTTTGCGACTTTAAAATTGCTACATCTCTGCAAGTACTTGAGGTACAGAACTGCAACTTGGCATGAGGTGGTTTTCTAGTTGCCTCTACAAGTTCAGCAAATTTCATGGAAATCGGAGGGGTTGAGGTCAAATTAAAAAAAAAATGCGTTGATTTGACATCGAATGACCCATACCAGGTAGCATTGAAATAATATGTCTCTTCTTTGAAACATTATAAAACCTACCGTGGATCGTACAGATTCGTAATGTTTTCGCATCGCATTGCAAACATTAGAATATTCTGTTTTTGAAAGTTTTAGGTTTAGAGTTTCTGAATAAAAAGTCTGCCATTTAAAGTGGTAATTTAAGTTGGTACCTTTCCAACGCACGAAGTGGATGGTATACCCATATGATTTCTCTACATGAACACCATACATTCTTTCTTTATGATCGTCAAACATTGTGGTATCAGAATGGATCCTAGACAGACTAATGGAAAAAGTTTCAACTTTTTTCTGCTCTTTCGTTTGATAAAAAAAAGATTAGGAAAAATTCCCATTAGCAAAAAGAATGTGTCCTTAGGGGGTTAACCAGAGAACTAGGCATATACTGAAAGCAGTATTCAGAGAACTAAGTGCCTCAAAAGCTTCAGCCGTTTCTGTCCTTTCCGCTAGTGTCAAAATATCTTTGGAAAAGCTAACCCAGCCAAAATCTTTGCACTCATAGTATGTACCACAAAGTTGAGGTTTTTTCTGAATTCACCCCAGTTACTCATGAGCCAAATTTGACCTTCCTATTTCAGCCCAATTTGCAAGGACAAAAAACAATTATAAAACGTCACTCATAAAACATGCCCCCCGGCGATGTATTGAAAACTTGACATTTTTTCTGAACTCCTTGCTTCAGTAATAATAATTCATGAGAAGCAAATAGTCAAGAAACAATTGAAGTTTTTCCATTGTGATACAAAAAATGAAGAAATCAGATTTTCTTCATTAAGTTTCATTAGGTAATAAAACGAACGCAATTCATGCGCCACCCGACATGGATTACATTTCTAACATTTCAATGCTTCCTTGTATAGTGATTTGGCCAACTATATTCCACAAAATATAGAGAGATGTCGGAATGCATGTGAAATTAGAACATACCCCATTACTTTGCTAATGATTACCTTGTTACCATGAGAAAGTGTTTGCTTGAAACTGAATGTTTTCCATTGACTCACCCGAATCCAATTCGCTTCTAGTCTCACACGTTCCTTTGTCATCTTCAAGGGCACAGTATGGAACATCACAATATCCCCATTGTACATTAAGCCCTCCAGAAGCAGTGATGTAACACCAAGGACCGGACGCTCTCCCAAGTGGGTTCCGACAATAGTTGTGAGTATCGGTGAGGACATCCGAGAATGCCACGTGCCTGGTTCCATATATCCGATCACTCCCATCGATATTCGTATTGAGCCAAGGAAGGCATGGAAAGCCTGAATTGGTGGTGTTTTTCACTCCTACATATTCTGCTCCCTTTTGAGTTAGCTTACATTCTTGTGCTCCTGAATGCATAGAAATAGGGAGACTGAAACAATGATAAGGGCAATATCGGGGGGGGGGGAGAACAATCTTCTACTAATGGAACTGATCCAGAAGACCTAAAGTAACTGAATATCTTAAATGATACCTGACATCATTTTCAAATGGTAAATAGGCACGTGATGTGATAGCATTCTCCTATGCATTTTTATAAAGTGGAAGCATATTGTTTAAAGAACTTTCGTTTCAGACTCCTACCGGATTTGAGTGGCCAAGGTAAAAAAGAACCGGCACAATACCTGCTTAACATCTCATCTTCCTCAGAAAATGTCGTTTCATGGATTAAGGTTCGCACCTATGCTACTCATTAGCAGCCAGTGTATTGTGTTCTATGAATGTGGAGATGGCGATGCTCAGGTAACCAACATCCCACTCAATGTTGCGCAGTAAGAAGTTTTTCCCACTGTGGCCGTGCCCGAAGGGTCTCACTACGTCCCCAGACTCATAATATGAGAAAGATCGGCAAAGGGAGAAACCGATAGACTAATATGCCTCAATGGTTAGAACATTTCGGATGTGCTGCAATCCGAGCCTACATATGCCCGCCTTCAAGATGTATAGGCTAGAAGTAAAACCTGTCCCCCCTGTGGAAAAAAAGACCTAGAAAAATGAGAGTAGAAGGAAAAAGCAGCAGAAAATGAAGCAGAGAAAGCTATTGAGTGAGAAGACCAGGATCCGGCGCATAAGATGTCTGGGACAGTTCTTAGTAATGAAAGAGAAAATGGCCAAAGCCATCCCTCTCCATGCTTATTTAGGATCGGTAAAGAGTGAGTCTTATTAAAGAGAGAAAGTGTTTTTTAAGTATCCAGCTTGGATATCCATTATTTCCGGATCCTGGTATTCTCACTCAATAGCTATCTTTGCTTTCATTTTCTGTTGCTTTTGCTTCTACTCTCATTTTTCTAGGTTTTTTTCACAGGGGACAAGTTTTACTTTTAGCCTATACTTCTTGAAGGCGAGTATACATAGGCTCGGATTGCAGCACATCCAAAATATCCTATAAACACAGTATTGAAATAGCGTGAAGTTTTCAAAGCATCCCATAAATGTATATATTTTTGAGGGGTAACGCTTTTAACTGTTTTATTTTTATACTGGCATACGCAACAGAAATCGAGAAGAGAAACTTATCACACAAATGACCCACATGCTGCTGATTTCAGGAAAATGTCAAATGGTGGTGCACCCCCAAGAAACAATAGCTTTTGGCTAGATTGTCTCTCCAAATATACCTTCCCACCAGAAAAAAAGGCCAAGGTTCAAGACCGAAACTTGTTGAGCACTGAGTTCTCTGAGAACCTATTTATGTGAATATATTGATAGATATATATATATATTTTTAGGTATAACCTCTCAGGGAACAAACCTTGTGAGAGTCGCATTTTCAGGATCTTTTTCAATCCAGCGATTCAGAGAGCAATAGAAAGTTGAAACGAGGCTCAGAAGGACCAGTTCAATTTCTGAGTGTAGAAAAAATAATTTTTTCGAAGTATATATCCTCTAGGCAAATCATGGGAGGGAAGTATTTCAATATTTATCTTCCCCTCTGACTAAATGGAGCTCGTGAAAGAATGTGAAGTTTGGCGCACAATATTTCATCAGAGCAACAATTTCGATGAAAATCTTGGTGATGTCCCTCTTGGCACATATTTCGACATGGACGTACATTTCATTTAAGCCTCTTCGAAAATGAAATAAATCAATCTGGATCCTGGGTAATGAAGCTCCGAAGGTGCGAACATAACGAGTTTGTTTGCCGGAACCAACTCGCTAGTAGATGCTATTTTGTATTTACCAAGTAAATTTTGTTTTTGAAATGGTCATCGATTGAATCTATATTCCTACACGATTAGGTGATCTGAATTCCCTTCCTGACAAGAGACTAGTAGAACATGGAAGACAAATGCATACGTCATCTTGGTGGAAATCGAATACTCACTTAAATCATCACACATTGGAATCTGGCAATACTCGGAATGGATTTTGTCTTCTTCTTCGACAAAGCACCATGGCCTCTCCTTTAATGTTGGGTTCCGACAGAAGTTTACATGAGAAGATGGATCTTGGTTCAAGAAATGCTCCTCAAAGAACAAAACATCCTGAAACATGTCCCCTGAATCGGCATCGTATATTTCAGTCAGTTTGGGGGAGTCCCATTCGAGGCATTGCTTCCCTGACTCAGTTACATCCATACTCCCAACATATTCTTTGCCCATCTCCGTCAATCGGCATTCAGGATACATCATCTCACCTGAGAAAAGACACAACAGAGCCGAAGGTTTTTTGCATTATTATTTGAAGGTTTATAGGTTTTTCAACATTTACGTTCAAATCTAAAACGATTTCCTGATGTCATTCATAACTATATCATGCCAATGAGTTTCTTTACTCTATGCTTACTAGAATGAAATAGTAAACATAACGAAGGAATGAAATAGTCGAACATAGCTAGTTTGTATAGAAATCATTACCACTAATATTGGAGATATTCCATTGGCTAGCGTCATCTCCTGACCGACACATTTTTTTTAATGCGGTTTATTTTGAGAAAAGGCATTCTCCACAAATTTAAACACCAGGGATAGACTCAAAGGTTTTTTGGCTACAGGGCACGGATGCATAACGCGGGAGACACTCATCATGGCTCTTGGAAACAATGATGTACGTTGCTGTCAAATTTCCCAAAAGAACGGTGAACGCTTCAAGCACAAACAAATACACGGATTGACTTGGGCTTTCATATGACGTGATTTAACATTCTACCGTAACAAATTACAAAAATATATAGTTTCATGGAATATGAAACATGTTTTAGACCCCCCAACTTCAAAATTAGGATTTTCTTTGTACTTAGTTATAAAACTTCTGAGGTAAGTTTCATTATAATGGATAATGGGATTGTGAAACTCTAAAAAAATTAGTACATTTTGAAAATGGACACGTTACTCAGTTTAAATACAGTATATACCTAAATTCTACGTAACAATAGGATTTATTTTTTTCTGACCTTTAATATTAGCCATTACACGATTTCTAGATGGTGTAGGTTGAGAGTTTTTACATTCGTCAATATGGTCACACATGCCTGAAAACCGATATTTTCAAATGTCACATATCCTTTACAATGGGAAAAATATTAAAAATCCAATATTTCAGACATTGGAGTTCCATGTATAAAAATAAGTTCACTCCTAAATTTGTCACTATTTCGGAGGTTGTCAAGTGTAAGATTGGGAATCGATGCGCTGCAGGAGGTTGATGAATTTTGCTACTTGGGAAGTAAGATAACTAAGGATGGACGAAGTAGAATGGAAATACCAAGCAGAATAGCATAATGAATAGAAGGCATTTTACAAAAAGAGGCAGCTTCTGACATCAAGTAATGTCAACCTAGAAGTTGGAGAAATTCTTGAGGACCTCTGTATGGAGTGCAGCACTGTATGGATGTGAATCATAGACAAAAGCGACTGTGGACATTATAGCGGATTTTTTGTGCTGTTTTACTATGTTCCTATACTCCCCAAATTACAAAAAATGAAATGATTTATAATAAAATGATTTGTATTCCATGAATATTACTTAATTTACTGATTAATTAAAGGTATTTAAGTTACTTAATTGATTTGTGATAGTCCAAAAATGAATACTTTGTAATTGTATATGCTTGGAAAAAAGCATTAAATTAAAAACCATCGACATTTTCAGGTATACAGCGACATACCATTTGGCTACATTCCAGTGATACTCAAATGAAATTATAAATGGGATGTCGATGCCGCCTAACGGTTATATTTCATGGACCCCTTGAGTGACAATTATAAATTTGGTATCTTTAGAAAGGGCGTAGCAGGCCCTTTTTAATGATGAGTCGGGATTCATAGAATGGAAAGTGCAAGTGTGGTTCAATGAATTCAATGAAAGTTTTCAAATAAATTGAATTTTGGCACTCAGAAGCACAAAAATATTAATATCTCGTCAAGCCATTGAGTGCGACTCTCGAATTTTGTATCGTCAGAAATGGCTTACTATGCCCTTTTTACTGAAATATTGAAATAACGAATTCACCAGGTGGTAAGTGTCGATATTTGTTACTAGATATAATTAACCTGCTTGATCGAGGAGAAATTCTTGCATCGGCTTAGGAGAAAAATGCCTTGAATAAATTTTTTAAAAGGAAATCTCGCGATAAAAATGACACCAGAATCAGGCCTATGGCTTAACTAGAGGGAAGTTATAGCAGAAACAGTTCCACAACTCCTGTACGTATGTGAGCTGGGTACGAAAGGTAGGTCATGTTAAAATGCATGTATCAGGAGATCGTGAGAGAAAAAAAATTGTCGAAATCATTTTTGTAATCGAATTGAAAGTGTATGACGGTTTTCGCCAAAATCCAAGTTAATTGAGCTCACTCGCTGGTTGATTTGGAGGTGAATAACCCCTATGCGAATTGGCAGGAAGGTGTAACGGTATGATTGGTATAACGTTGAGGTCTTATCATCTCACACAAGCTCTGTCTTATTATGCAGAGCATTGTACGGCTCATGAAAAATACGAGGTTCAAGTATGTAGGCATACAGGACCTCAGCAACTCAGATTCCATAGCATTATTGCTGATGACCCAATCCTGATCTGCAGGCGGATCAGGTCTCGACACCAAAACTTTATGAAATACCATGTCAACGTTTTAGCAGATTTGGCGAAATGTGTTGCCGAGGCCATTTCTAGACATTGTTCTCAGTGTGAAAATGAACTGCGAAAATGAGGGGTGGAGGACCGTCGGAAACGAAAGACGTCATGAGTGAACGGGGAGAGAAAAGATGGTGTTTTGGACACTCGAGAGATCATTTAATGTCGACGTGTCAAATGATATTTGGTTATTTTGCCCCAGAGATACCCGATCAGCCGCGCCGATGAAAGCCAGATCAGATGGAGGCGGGCGGTGGAATTCCTACCGGAAACATTCGGCTTGAATGAACTTTCCGAAGAAACCAGAGCATAGGTCGCAAAGATGAATGTATCCACGCACTCCAGGCAATCATATCTGTCGATCTATCAGGAAAATTTTCATAAGTTACTTCTGAAAAGTGATTTTTCGACACCTTTGTTGAATGGGGGGCGAAATATCATTTTGGCTTGAATAAACGTTCTCAGCGAACCACCTATCGCAAAGGGACGAGCGAAGTCTCACTGTCATCCAGAGAATCTCTTTTATCGATCTATAATTTATGAGATACGAGAGAAAATTTTGTGATTTGTTTTGCTTTTTAGGAGCCTGGGCTCGCATTCTGCGGCGAGCGCGTAAACGTTGACAGACGGGGGGGAGGGGGGGCGATTCCCATCCCTGCCAGAAACTGATTCATTCCGCGGGAGTCCGGGTAGATATCATGGTGATTTTTACGTGGACTCCTTCCGACGATTTATATCTATCGATCTATCAATAAATCTGCCGTGATTTTTCACTCACATGTGTCTGGTAACACTTTCTGGTAATGGTGCTGTTAAGGGTCAGTGGGGGCGATTTTTCTCTCAAAAAATGCACAACTTTGAATAAACTTTCCGAAGGAACCCTTGCAGGTAAAAACATGATTCTGGCGTCCCTGCAATCTAGAGACTCTTCCTTATCGACCTATCACAGAATATTTTGTGCTTTTGTCTTGAAGCCGAGATGGAAAGAAAAAACCGCGGGATGTAGCGTTTTTCGCATATTGTGGTACTTTTCTCCAAAATGCTCTGTACAAGGCCCATGAGATTTGGTGTACAGATCAACCGATAAGTCGTATAAAATCGCATGCATGCTTATGCCCGTGGTGGACCTGTGGCCCGAATGGCCGTCGCATCACTGTTCTAAATAAATTGGGCTATTCTCAGTTATATGGCGGCTTGACCTTTGACCTTTTGAGTCAGCTCGAATCTCAACCCTTCAATCAAAAGTAGACTGTCTTAGCTTTCCAAATGCGTTATTTGCGGGTTCCCCTGGCCAACAGTTTCCGAGTTGTAACCGTTTCATTTCGACTCCGCGAATGGTCATGTAGCGGCAAGTTTGGCAGCGAATTTTAGCTTAACTATGAGTCGGACGTGACTGTGTCTCCCCTCTTTGCACTTCCGTAGGGATACTCTACAGTAATTACTTTTCAGATTCCGATTCCCAGACCGTCGAATTTTCCTCCACTACCACCTTAAATCTCACATGATCTTTGGGAAGAGGACACGGTGAACCACAACGAATACAGACGAAGATCCGAATAGTAACGAAGCACATTCTAGGTTTGTTACTGATTATGGAGTTTAGATTCTCTGCAACTGTTTCAGCTCTACACCCAGGGAACATCCATCCCTCAGGCGTGAAGAGCTTATTAGCGCTTGTGCCCTGACAGCAATAAACGGATTCAAATTAAAAGGCCTTCACAACTTAAACGCTGTTTGGTTCGCTGGAGAGGCTCATTGCAGTTTTCCAGCTATTTAATAGGAAGGCGTAGCCCTTACAGGAATAGTTCAACGTGTTGAAATTGAACCAACAAGTCAACGGTGATTCGCCATTGAATCACCGGAATTCAACCGGAATTCAACGCCATTGAATCACCGTAGACATTTTTGTATTGGAGGACAGGCAGTATCACGTCCGATACCATTTTATCTACACAAGCATCTGTTCCTCTGGCTCATGGAACAGCTGGCAGAACTTTCAATAAGATTTTTGTGTCGGATCAATTGCTTCGCAGAGCTTCAGAAATGTTTATGGAAGGGAATAGTGTAGGTCCTGCATTGAATTGTTTTTACACCGAGAAATATAAGGAACATTTTTTGTTTGTCGTTCGCGAGAATGGAAAATAAATCCTCTCAAGGAAACGGAAATAACAACTGACAAATATTTCCGGCTGTAACATCAAACATTATTAAATAAAAATATTATTCAAGCATCAGTTCCAATAATTCCTTTTCGAACTGTTTAATAAAAATTTGAAGCCACATTCATTTCTCTGGGAACGAAGACCTGCTAGACTGGGATCTGATCACAGACCAGATTAGCGTGTGGTAGCTCAACATCAGTGGTTGCTGGTTACATCAGTAAATGCCGAGTGAATTCCAAAATTGTTGCAAATACTAGAAAATTGCGTTCGGTGAAAGTTGTATAAAAGAGTAGAGGATCCATTAAAACTCTGAAGGAATCTTGAGAACGAAAACAAATGAACTGAAATGAAATGAATGGAGAGTAACCATTTGAGTTCATTTGAGTTAACAGAGTTCTTCACCTGTTGCAAGGGTTGCCATAATAATACAAGTCAAGCTAAGCAAAATAAATCAATGTCTAAAATTGCGCGAGTTCTCTGCGATGGGTTCACTTTGTTCAATGATGAAGAAATGCGATTGACACAATGAAAGATAGATCTTACTTAAGCATCGGATATCCTTGCCCTCAAATGACTTTACCCATGCGTCATCTGTGTCGAAGGAACAGCTTGCAAAATGCTTAGTTGAGCGATCGGAAAACCTCATGGGGCTAGGACATTCGTAGACGACTCTTGCACCTGGAGGCGCAGGGTATATCCCATTCCATTCTTCGTATGTCACAATGACGGTTTCCATCACTGGGTGCTTGCTCACGCATGACACTATACAGGAGCATAAGGAAGTAACAAATGAAAACCTTTCACTTTTTGCACTGCCTTCTTTCATCCTAACAATATATATCTCACTACTTTACTGATTTCACTTATTTTTAGCTATCGTCTTCAACATGATCCTTCTACCTTTCCCACAGTCCAGTTTCTCATATGAGATAAGTCCACTACTGAGAAAGTTTTCAAAACGAAGTTCATTATATCTACCTGTTGAAGGAAGTGCGAACACTCATTACTTGCTCATGAATAATTCCAATATGATTTATTGCGTATGAAACTTTTTCCGATTATGTTGTGGTCCTACAAGAAATATGGTCAGGACAGGTCATAAGTGAATGGTTATATGAAATAATTTGAGGTGTCTGTGTACAGGCTCAAGGCAGCTTACGATTACTTCAAAGCGTATTCACACCGTCTATTCTCGGTAAACACTGTTTGACCGTAGCTGACCTTAGTAGCCTCCCCTTCTCCATATAATTCGACATCTCACTCAATACCACTCAAGCTCTCATTCGATTATATGCTCACATATAGGTGGGCACAGAAGAGCCTTGTCTTCGTTCACGAACGTCGTGCACCATTCATCAGGTTTCACAGAGGAACAAATAGCTTTGTGCATCTTGGATCCGTCTTTGAATCCTTGCGGGTGCTTACAGGTGAAGATAACCGTGCCGCCCGGTGAGGTTGGATACTCACCCGTCCATCCCTCAAACGCTTCTTCCGCATTCTCAATCTTCATGTAGTCAGTCAGGCACAGAACTGTATCCATGACAAGAATCAGGAAAAGAACGCACTTATTTCTAGGGTTATAGAAGTATAAGATTCATTTCCGTTCCTGTCAGTGCATTTTTTATGCAGGGCGGAAATGAACCAGACTATGTCATTTTAATGTCATTATGGTCTATGGATGATGAGGTGGCTTCATACTTGGCATTAATACTCGTATAAAAATACTCTGCATTCGCGTTGTAATAAAGAAAACTTGAGGATCGACTTTTAAAAAGAAGATCCAGATCATGTCGGTATTAGCGACCTTGTCAATTCACATCTTCAAACTCACATTGAACATAAGCCTGGAACTCATCAGAAGGAACGAGGACGCTTCGGTCGTATGGTACCAATTGACATATGCCATCACGTTTTCCAAAATTGAAACCGAGGCATGGCCTGGACGGATCGTACTTCAAGCATTTCTGATAACATTCTTCGTAGTCCGCCACTTGGACCTCAAGTGACACGTCTCCATAGCGCTGGCCAGGGTGAACTCTCCAATATACGATGAGCTCCGAGGATGATCTAATGTGAGGTAGGCAGAAAAGTACAGCAAATGCTGTATAGCAACCCATTTTCCTGCCAGAAAAAAAAAACATGTGCAATCGCTTCAACTTCCCAATGATGGAAAATGCTTGAAGAAAGGCTGCGTTATTGGAGTAGTCCAGGAGCGTAGTCACAACATCAGATGTCCATGGATAACCTATATTACTAAATGATTACTATGTTACCAATATAAGCATAAATGTCTGTCTACGGCCACTTATTCTCCTAGACGGTATGAACACTGAAACTGAAACTGGAACCTTCAGCTACTTTGAAGTTAGGTATCAGAACGAATCAGTTAGGTGACCCTGTGGTTTATGGGTCATAGGGCTGCCTTGGGTCAGTAGGGTCACTGTTTATCCTACGAAATCGAAGTAATTGATTTTAGAGGTTATCAAGCCCTCGATTTCGTCAGCGAAGTTCGTTACGTTCATGGTCATTTCTCCTGTGAGACATTGGCAGTCAAAACTAAATACATTTTTGAGGCAATTTCCCGGGTTAGGAAACTCCTCCCCGCTGATTGGATCTGAGTGAAACTGAAGTCAATGGAAAGGCTGATATCTCTAGAAGTTCCGTGTCACAATATTTTCATGATGCGACTAAAACTCGGCAAGCTACGATCGACGTATCATCGCAAATTTAGATGATTGGTGGCTCCATGGTGCTCAAACACCTTTTTACTCTTCCAGTACCAGGTAGAGGGCAAAACATATCCCATTTCCTGCAGCCAAGCATTGACTATCTGTTAACCTATAGCTCGAGTGGTGGAAAGTCCATAGCCCAAGCCATGGCCTCCCCTTTTACATTTTCTGCAGTGCTGGTTGCATATCCACTGTTATTTTGGGGGTATCTGAATACCATACCATGCCACGTAAGAGGAGAATGCTTGTTGCTGGAAAGGCATAGCGCACAAATGTGACTAAGCGGTAACAAAATGTGTAGAGGAAGATGCGGATTGCGATGCAGATTCTGAAAGGTTAGAGCTACACGCAGCGAAACTGACAGCGTAGGGTCTCGACGTCAAAGGATGCGACAGCAAAATCAGCTGATCGAGACGAATGCTCATAGGAAAAGCTCAAATTGCTCAGATGGTCTGAAAACAGCATTGTTACCGCCATTGAAGGGACTGACAGACGAATATAACGTTTTGTGTCCTACAAATACTTCTTTATTGCATCTCTCCTATATAAACTTATTCGAACATTCATTTGTGTTTTGTGTTTTGCCATGCAGGCATTTCGCGAGTTGCACTGGTGATGGAAGTGAATAGTGAATAGGGTCTATCAGTTCTACAACATTTTCCATGTGGTTTTAGTGAAAATATTCCATACAGATGGACGTGTTCAAGGGCCAAAGTCGTCGCTAAGGAGACGTTTATTTTGATGATAACAACTAATTAACCTTTTATTAAATAGGGACCTTTTCGTAATTTTTCTAGGGCACATGGATAGAGCAACCAAAAGTATATAGACTGAACCAAATTTTGAGAAAAGGATGTTTTTTTTTCAATGAAAATCGACTTTTAAATGGGAATGTGGGAAACGGTCGCAGTTTGTTCGTGAGAGGCATCGTCGATTCTGACGGAACCGAGTCCATCGTGGAAGCAACACTCTTTGTCCTTTAACTTTGCTTGTCAATGTCTCCACGTCCAAATACCTGTAAGTCCCACTGTTCACATGACTAAGGCAACTACTACTATCTAAGACTCGAACTATATTAATCAGGCCATGCTCACCATTTAGGTTCCTGATGAGTATGGCGATTATACCACGCTTTAAATTTAAAATTCATTCATGGTGAACAAGCCCAGCTGGAGTGTGACTGTTGAACACCATTGTGCAAATACTTTGTTCTTCTTTATTCAGGACGACACTGTCGAAGCCCTAATAAGTCTTTTTTCCCTATAGTTCGCATATTTTCTTGAAGTCTCCGTTGAACAGTGACTTAATGATTTTGTTCCGCAAAAAAGCATGCAAATACGTTTAAAAAAGTGCACGATTCTGTAAAAATGCTATATTCACGCCTGTTGCCAACGGTCCTATGACTTTCCAGGTAGTTAATTGTTCCAAAAGTTTCATGGGTAAAGGAGCAATTGTTTTCACTATTGGGAGAACCTTGAGTTAGAGCAGGGACGTGCAACCAGTGGCCCGAGGGCCGCATGTGGCCCGTGGGCATGCTTCTTGCGGCCCAGTAATGCATAATGGGATAACTGATAAGTTCATTTGCGGCCGAAGGCCTATCATTTAGGCATCCTTTAGTAACAAGACCGAGTCCTTTCACTTTTTCTAATTTTTCCCCACGCGGGCGGTGCTATGTTCCTATGGCAGGAGGAAGAATGTTCTTAATGCCAAAGGCTATTTTTGGACGTTGGAACTTCTTTATGGGTGGGGTGAAGGTAAGGATCATTGACTAATGAGCACGACCTTATGCCCTCGTATGCCCTGAGAACAAAAAGAACGAGGCTTTTTATTTTCATTCTGTGGCCCGCATGAAGGAGTCACACATTTCCATGAGACCCACTGCCAGCAAAGGTTGCATACCTTTGAGTTCGAGTCCTGTGCGGACTATAGCCCCACCCTTTCGCTCTGAATTGGCCCGACCCGCTGGCTGTTTTTAGGGCAAACTTTTCAAGATCCTCCTTGGGGTCGGGTCGAGTTTTAAAATTTGGTTTTTTAATATCATAATTCCTCCGGTCTAAAATCATGGAAACGCCGTGTCATGACCGGAATCTTAGTTTTTTTTAAAAGTAAATTGTGAGCATGAATATACATAATGGAAGTAAGGAATTTCTGGTCGGGTCGGGTCTGGCCATTAAGTTCGTGTGGGAATCGGGTTTCGGGTCGTGTGCCGACTGTGACTTCAATCGGACCCATCGGTACGGGTACCGGGAAATCAGCCTTTGCATGGCTCTTCGGGGGTGGCATAGTGGTGAAAATTACGACAGCTCATAACTCCTTGTCGGTTCATGCTCCTTCACATTTGATTTCTCAGTGCACACCTACTGGCCACAAGCTTTCGAACGATTCATAAAACGCATTTATTTGCAGATCGTCACAGCGCGGCTTGAAGTTAGAAATGTGAAACTCAGTGCACAAATAACGTTTGTGATGCAGAGTTTTGAGAAAATCTGACTTTGAAGGTTAATGCCTTTTGGGTGTATTTATTCAGGCGGACATGTTAAAGATTTCATTTTACTTCGGGAAAAAGTCATGGAAAACTGAAAATAGATACCAATATATATATTGTCTTGTTGATTCCAAGAAATACAAGAAAAACAATTTGTAGATATGTACTTGTGGCAGATTTTTCAGGCAGACGTTTTAAAATTTTAAATTTCCCTTCTGTCACTGGGAGGGACAAGAAAAGTTGCAAAATGAGCATGAACATGCCTACTAACGTGCTAATTTCTTCTAAGCACTAGCTGCCACTAGCTAAACAGTCACATCTTCCTAATGGAAGTTAATCGACTTCTATTCCCTTACATTCGAATAAAATGTAGGTGCCGAAAGCCGGGGGGCGGCCGGGAATTGAACCCGGACATCCTGCTTCCCGGTCAGGTGTGCCATTACACCGGCTACCATTACACCACAAAACGCAGGATGTCATGCCTCCCTATGTCATCTCGGTCACTACAGGCGTTTGCCGTAGCGACGACTGTCAGGCTGTACATTTTGATGTAGAGAGGGGGCATTTGTTTCACATTGCTGCCACGACGGAAAAATGCTCCTGCTGCAACTCGCATTTTACCCTGAGGCTCTGAAAGTGTTGCTCGCTGGTGCTAATGTGGCGGCGAGGCATTTTTCGGAATCAGTCGTTACCATTGTGCCGCACATGCACTAACTTCCCTCTGTGCCGTCGAACAAGTTCTTCGAAATGGTCCGTATTGTTTCAGAATCATTGGTGTCTGTACCATTCGCTAACGCTAATAGCCCTTGAGCTAATTGGTGATGCGTATTCAATGCGAAGAGTATTCAATGTGTTAGGAAGACGAAATGAGCAAAGTTGTCTTGAGTCTCATGAAAACGTGCTAAACCGAGGCGTTCACAATGGCGATTGTGGCAATGAGCTCGAATATCATGATGATGGTGTTAGGAACAGAATCTCCTTGTGTATTGTAAGCTATATGTGTATAAATGTAATGAAGCTGTACAATTCCGAATGGGTAATGCGATGAACAGAGAATTGTCAAGGAGACGTTATGCTCACAATAGACGATTCAAACTTTCACCTATTAGACGGCCAGCGTAGCGACCGCAGGCCTGTAGTATTTTCTTATATTCCGTCTGTCCTCAGTAACCATAGCGACCCGACAACGCGACCCGTTGCACATGAGCAGCTTTCTGCCTCTGTCGTGGTGCCTGCATTCCACTAAAACATCAACTTTTCTTTAAGCCCTCGAGGATAATGTATCTACGGTACGCAACTGGAAAGAACGGCTGCTCGTGGTCGCGTAGACAAGGTTGCAAGACGTACGCGTGAAGTGTCACATCTGGCATCCTACACTTATACTCTCCCCCTTCTCCACGCGACGCAGGCGCTGTTGAGTGGTCCAGGCCCAATTATATAGTTCTACGACGCACCAATAGCAATATGGGATGAATATAATTACTCCAGCGATATAACTAACATCGGAATGGCAGATTTGTACCAAAGCTGGAACTATCTAGTTTTCTTTTTATATCGTGTGGCTTGCATGATCCATAGGAAGAGATTTTCTTAAACCCTCTTGCTGTCAAGAAGATTGCAGTACACTGCATGATGCTCTGGTTTATTAACATGGTTTGGTAACGTCCGAAGCGTTTTTATTGTAGCCCATGCTGTTACATGGTTAGTCGATTGATTTCATCTCATAGGACTTAATTGTCTGAGATCTCCTTGAACAGGGTTATATTTTTTGGCAAACGTTTTTGCGACATTTTCATATCTTTCCGGACATTGTAGGAAAAGCAAAGTATTTAACATTTGGAAATAGAAGTCGCAACCTCCCTGTAAAGAGTAATGTAGAATTTCCGAAAACTTTCCCTTGGTAGAGGAAAAGGAATATGATGAGTCTGACGGGAATGAAGAACTACATGAAGAGAGACTTGCTCACCGGTTTATTGGAGTTCATGGTGTTATGTATGTTTCATATGGTATAACAACCGATACAAATGTACTTGTATTTCAGGTAATACCGCCAAAAAAATCACTTCTGACCAGTTAAAGAAGAAAACATATATGGTGCAAAGTATTGAAGACTGAAAACTTGTTTAAAAAATTAGTACTTATTTTCTACTCTTTACTGCGGAAAACCATAATAAGTTACGATAGATGTGCATAATGCGAGTAATCAGAGGTATGAAGAAATTCCCATGAATAAAGAAATATATTCAGTATTAAAACTATCGGTTTCGTATCCGTGTTTAACAATATGTACCGATGCTTCACTTCAGTAAAAGAGTCTCTTGGTCACTGAGAGGTCTCTCTCCACTCTCTTCCCAATCACTACCAGTGCGCAAGAACTTTAGCTGAATCTGGATTCGTCAGATCGCCGGATCAATGTATGTCCCACGTGGCACCTGCGCCGGCAACGACGTCGAGGGTGCAGATTGAACCCTCCCAATGAGGAACCCTCACCCACAAAGCGTGTGAGAAATCAGGTTGCCGTGCCACGTAACCAGCGTTATAATGGCGAAAACTAAATGTCCTTTCAGCGTCCTTCAAATATGCTCCGTTTCGGCTGATTTTGTACACAGTATTTTCTACTTTGTATTTGGAAGCGTACTGGGTGTTGCATATAGATAGCCCCCTCCCCCCGCAAAGCCTAAACTATATGAATAATGAAAATAAATTAAGACACATTTTGGAATCCTTGTTCAATTTTTGTTCGATTCAATTCCATTTTGTTGTTCGAGGTGTCAACTGATTGTGAAAACTTTTGATTGATCGCATCCGTTCCCTTACGTTTCGAGAAGCCCGTGATGCCGTAGCTGAATTCGTTATACGTTTATGGGTCCTCTTAATCCTAGATGTGACTCCCCTGCACGAAGCCCCATACTTGAAAGCTTTGGACACGAATCAATACCGAAAGGCAGGGGATTGATTAATTTGTCAATGCGGAATGCCTTGGACATTCTCCAGATCTGAATATGGGTGAGAAAATATGGACTCTCCTGAAAGATCCAGTTGAAACTCTCGTGAACGTGGATGGAAGCGGAATGGATTCTAGGTTTTACTCTTCATGCCTCCTCAATCTTAATCCGTTGAAAATCGTGAGTTGCGTCACTTTGAATACAAGGTGGCCGGAAAGTTCACAAATTCTGAATCCTACAGAGGGAAAACGATAGATACCGAAGGGAAATGTTCATGGGATATCACAACATGAGTAGGTGATACCTACTAATTTAGTAGAACTGATCCTTCTACTGGAAAATTTCGGGATATGACTTGCAGATGTGACATATAGGAGAGTTCCTCAAGGCGCCTTCAATAGAATTCCATCCGTAATTGTGGTAAGTTGAGAACTTCTGGGTCACCTGGTGTCACATCTAATATGCGTAGATGGTTTCCCGAAAAGTTAGTTGTAATTTGTCATTCGAGACATTGTTGGTTCCACGTGGAAGGAATAGGAATATATAGTGGTGCGAATAGAAGTTCCAGACTGGAAAAGATTGTCGATTGAAATATAAAGGATTAGACGAGTTCCGTTGTAATACATCGCTTGCCATTCTTTTGCATGCTAAACATAGTAGTAACCATGGAGGACCGTGCATTATTAATATCATCGGGGTGGTCCGGCCTGAATTCAGTCCTTCATACATTCAATACACGGTTCCTTTTTTCTTAGAGTGTTGCAGTGGAACGTCCATCGATCCATAGCGTAATGATTGGCCAGGACGAAATGTTCCTGGACTTTTCTTCAGTTGCTGAGAACGTCCAAACGTTCACATGTCATAGCTGAAAATAGGTGGGAAGTACTTTCATAGAAATAATGCATCATTGACTTCTGTTTTGTTTACAGTATTAGCTATGAAACCACGGCGGGAACAGAGCACCAAAAATTCCCTTCAATCTGATCGCTCTCTGTATTCGCCATGTTTGCGATTTCTTCCACTTCCCTTTCTTGCCTTTAACTTTCTTATCCTACACATAGTCTCTTCCATGGTGATGACAAGATATTCAGTTCTGTCTAATTGGCTAGCTGTTCCTGGATTTCATATCTCGCTTGCCTATTTCTCAATTTAAAGCACTCCTATGAGTCCAATAAACCTCGTATTCAGCTTGTTCTCACCGTCCTCAATGCGAATCCTTTTTAATTTTCGTTGTATCGGACCCATAATTTTACAGGTCAACAGGACCGGCTATCTCAGCGAGTCCTTCACCTCAGAGATGCAAATTAATCTATATTCCACTTAAATTTTTCAATTTATGGGAAACTGGAGGAAACGAAGTGCTCTGCTGTGGAAGGAGTTACCATAATCTCCGGATATTACCACCCAACTAGCTCCCGTACGTGTCCAATGAACATTTCATGTAAGGTTTTGCCAGCGTACAATGAACGTCATTGGGAACGTTTCATTGACAGCTTAAATGTCTGAAAAATAGTGTGATGAAACTCAGTTCCAATTATGCCTTCAGTAAACGGCGTGGATTCATTAAGAACGTGAATTTGATGTTTCCAAGAGAAGGAAAGACGTTGACTTCGATATTAAGAACGAAGAAGTAAAAAATGTGGCACAACTAGTTCATGATATTGAGCAAAATTGGAGGACGGGACCGGAGCCATCATTCTAAGCTTAAATCAACTGTGTAATTTAAATTTTTTAAATGGACATATGGAGACCTGGAGGCGAGAAAAGCGACACTTCTTGAAGCTTACAAGTAAATATCTTTCGTTTGGCTTTTCTCTTTTCTCCGAAAACTTCTCAGCATTGGTTTCCACCCGTCGAGCGTTGCAATGTGATATATCGATCGTAAGCTCTTGAGTAGATTGCGCTGGTGCATATTTTAGCTTAGAAAGACAAGAAAAGAAGTATACTGGAATTCGGTTATAACGTCATCGAAAGGACCAAAGAAAGATCGTCGTTATGTCCCAGGTTGCCTTTATTGACGTATCCTTTTCCTGTTTACAAACTTGATTCAATATAACGTTAAACCTCCAGTGTATACCGGTCATGCATCACTAGCTTCAGTTTCGGGATTGTTCCACTAGTCGTGATGTTCACACTTCTTTAGATCTTGAGCTACTTTATACTCGTACTTTCCCAAGGTCTCGTCGACGTCATCCCGACAGACCTACGAAGTTTCTTGTTTTGTGACGTGTTCTCGTGAGCATGGATGAAGCTGCCAAGATTTTCCCAAATTGTGGAAACATGAACAGATGCCCATGTTCACATGCGACTTTAGCTTTACTTCGCCCACTTTCTATTAAACTACTCATGTCCACTTTCCTTTCAATCGTGTAAAACTTGCCTCTTTCTCTTTTTTTTAGCCATGTTGTCAATGAGAAATGCAAATAGCGACTGAAAAGTTTATATTTTTAGTTGTTGAGGATTATCCCTCCCTCACTCGCATGACTCGCACACTCAAGGAATCCCAAATCCAGGAAATATGAAGTCATGGCTCGCCAACGCTCATTTTCTCGATGATCAAAATCCCAGTTAAGTTCCGTCCATCACGATGACGAAGCAACCGTAGCACCGTTTTAGATAAATGCAATTCCTTTGGCTTGTTCTCACCCGAAGAGGAAGTTTCTGACAGTACCTTCTAGTACTTTCCCTGCCAGTTTAATGCTCCTCCTTGTGCCTTTTCAGTACTCCACTCAGTTTCAGCTCCAGCTGGGACTTCTTATCTTGAAAAATATTATGGCCTTGAAAAGAACCATTCAGTTTTCTCAGATTGATAGACCTAACTGCATGACATGAAGAATCGGATCTCAAGTCAGAAATGCACCAAACGGAAAAACCTCGCTGTACGACTGAGGAGTGACGTTAACGTAAGTCCAACCTGGATGACTTATGCCTCACTTTTGACCTAACTGGAAGGTTTTGGTATGCTGTTAAATCTTGCGGAAAAAAACTTGGCTTAGGCCTAGGATGAGTTAAACTCACCATGCATACGAGGGACCATTGCATTATATGAACAACATCATTCGGCTCCTGATCGGTTTCAATGGATTCGGATCTCTGGAACGAAATGTATCACCCTACCTTTTATTAAACCCAATCCTTAATTGAACAGCTTTCTCGTTCTTATTTTAGGGTGCTTCAGCTCTTCCTGAATGAGACAGTGAACTTGAGTGAATCCTTGAAAATAGCCCTAGTAGGTCTATGGCAAAAACTGACATTTCTTAAATTGTTTCAATTGCCATTAAAGCAATTTAAGAAATGTCAGATTTGTGTCATTTTGTCATTTTCGCGGAGACTTGCGGAGCAACAGTGCACGCCGACCGATTCCCGAAATATTCGTCAAATTCTGCAATTCCAGGAAATGTCGACGAGAGCCAGCCGACCCCGGTAATCGTCTTTTCCAGAAGCATTCGCTCCTCAGGTCGAGATTCAAGCATGTCATCGGTGATGCTGATGAAGTCGAGCGAAGTTTTCTTGCGGGCGTGGGAAAGAGACGCAACTCGGCTCTCAAGTCCATCGGGAGTGGTCTGTCGCTATCTTTTTTTTCTCGTTTTCCTGGTCGACATCATCTTAGAGCCGTGTTTGTGCCCTGCTGCTCAGAACAATGAAAGCGATATGCCAGGAGTACTTGTTCATCGTGGAGGGTCGAGTGGAGCTTCCTGCCTCCTCCAGATCCAACGAGGAAAATCCCACGTTGATTAGAGGCGGATGTCGTCGGCCGTCGCTGCCATTTGGATCTCGAGAGGGAGAGGAGAAAGACCTTCGCCGTCGCATCGGGTGAGTGCTCCGTATATTTCGGCGATCCTGGTTCGGTACGGTTGGGACGCGCGTTCATCATATGCTAGGTCTAGAGAAACCGATGTTTTCCTTAGGATCTGCTGTGAAAACTTGTTGAAACGAAACGGACCCGTGAGATGAGGGGCTTCGCTGGACTGAAATTCTGTCCATGGATCGTTCCAATTATTTCCTTGGTCTGTGCCACACAGGTAATAAGAGGAATTCTTAATAATCATGACTCTGTGACAATTGTTTGTTCATGTACGCTAACTAAGACGAAACGTTGTCAAACGAGAGCTTCATTCGAATGTCTAATTTAGATGGTACAGGGCCATGAAGCATCGGATGAGGCTCCTAGGTTCTATCCTCGTCCGTCTCCGACCTACAGGAAGTTTTGGTTCTTCAATGTCACCAACGCCGATGAGTTCTTGCTTGGAAATCCGTTGGAGCTGGCTGAAGTCGGTCCCTACGTATTCCGGTGAAGCATTCTCCATCTCATTCTCATTTGTCAAACCAGGACGTCGGCTTCGTGACCTCTTGTCTCCTCAGAGAGGTCATCGAGAGGGAAGTAACCGGGACGTTCGAGAACGGAACGGTGGAATATTACGATACGAGGACGTTCTTCTTCGCGGGAGAGGAGTCGGTCGGAGACCAAAGCGAGTCGATAACTTTCTTCAACGCTCCCGTTTTCGTAAGTCCGTCCGGCATTTGCGAACAGCGGAAAGCCTTTCTGAAGCTATACCATCCGACGAGGATGGGGAAACTTTTTAGTCTAGTCCTATTTGAATACTTTAAGCCGGGAGTGATGAAGGGGATCACAATGGTTTCTTCACGAGCGTAATTGTGTAGCTACCTTCTTGATGTGTTTTCGAAAATTCCATAGTGAAAGGAATGATTTTTTTTGGAATAGAAAGAAAAACATTAGCGTTCCCTAACTAATAGTAGTAAGCTGTAAGATGAGATTCATTGAACAGTTGTGAACCTGAAGCTTCGACGATGAGTTGTAAGTTACTCACTGATGTGCTGTAATTATTCTCCTATTTAGAGATTGGGCATTCGCAGGCAAACGCTTCGATATATGAACAGGGGTTTTTCACATTTTCCGCTGTAGCATGGACCCATGTGCTACTTGGGTCCATGTTCATTTCATTTTCATCATCAGTAAAGTTCATTTTCATCAACATCAGCTCATAGAGAAGAAAGTTCATTTTCATCAACAATTGATTCAACGTTGACATCAACGGTATATCAACACTGATTCAATGTTCAAAACCAACATTGCAACGTTGCTGTAACATTTGCTTATCAACGTTGACTCCATATTGAAAATTCATTTTCTTCAACATTGAAGAAATAATGAATCCATGATGATTCAACGTTGATATGACAGGTCTCAACAATCTGTTTAATTCGTGCGCATGCGCCGTTTCATGGCTGAAGCATCTGGACACGATCTCCATCCTCCGAATCCGATTTTTTAAGATCCCCCCATCCAAGGACAATGCGAACCTAAGAAACCTAAACTTAAACCTAAGCCGAGATGAGAAAGAGACATCCTTTTCCTCTGGAAGGAGAAGGACACCGACGCGATTACCGCGATTTAATAAGAGGCTACCCTCACTCAACGCACCCTTCGGCAATGATCATGATTTGGATTCATCCTCGAAAACAGGGCGACGTGGTCTCATGGAGTAATGTGACCTCGCATACTTTCTTGTGTCCATCACCCTGCTCAGAATTATCTTGGGTCTTGTTTGGTTGGGTTTCCACATTGGTCGAATATATCCAGGAAGTCAAATTCCTTCCCAGGCGTCGTTTGTGGGGAAAATATGAAATACTGTTCCAAAAGTACTCGAGACTCGTACTGATTGCATGTATATGGTAACTAACCATGTTGGACAAGTAGTTGCCATCATATTTCGCAGTCAGGAAATCATGTTTGTTCGCATGTCTCGCTAGATGTCTCGCCAGACATCTGTTGATGTAACGTTGACCGGACAACGTTCTCTCAATATTG